ATTTATATAATGTAATCTCTCTTTGTCGCTATCTGTATGGGATCGCTTTGGCGGCAATGATCATTTCCACAAAACCCAAAAGATAATTCCTTTGTGATCATATTCATATATTCTTCCTTCCTATTTATTTATTTGTTTTTAAAAAATTAGAATATCGGTCACTGGCTATAGCCAGTAAAAGGTCGCTCTTCGGGGGCTCGTGTGGCGGCAATAGTTGCATGTGTTACCGGTAGTTCCGGTTGCTCTAATCAATTTCCTTCTCTCCCCGGTTCGAATTCAACCCTGGTTCTTTTGAACTCTTTTGTTTCTTCTATCACTCTCTCTCTCTCTCTCTCTCTCTCTCTCTCTCTCTCTCTTCGAAATATCTCTGGTGTTGATTCTCTATTCCCTTTCCGATTCCTTTTGGATTGGACGGCTTGGTTCATCGAAGGTAATCGATTCTCAGCTTTCTAGATCTCTTCTCTTCTTTGTTTTTTGTTCGTCGTTCTACTTTTCATCTACTTCTGTTTGTTTTGCCTGCAAAATTATCGTCGGTTGAAGCTAATTTGTTGAGTTTAAGGTTGCGTTCGTTTTCTTTTCCTCTATTTCTGTGGAGAATGATCGTTGTTGAGCTATATATGTTGTGTTTTTGTGTACTTATCATCTTAATAATTGGTACTGGAGTTGTTTAACAACTTCAACGGGAGAGTGAACTGAAGAAGTAGCAGCAAGGGTTCTAGAATCAAGTTGTGTTAATTCAATTACATTTTAGGTTTATTGTTCAGTCTAAAGCTCAGTCCCCGATTAAACAAGTGATTTTTCATAGTTGTAATACGTAAGAATCTGCGGAGTCTTCTTTTCCTTTTTGTATGTACCTTTTACTGTTAATTGTCTGTAGCTGGTTGATCGTAGTTAGTCAAATTTAGAGATGATTTTTTCAATTGAAATTCAGGGATTCTAGTCTTGTTAAGGTCAAATATGTTTCAAGAACATGTATTATTACACTATTGACTTCCACTTGATTTGTTTGCTTCTGGATATTCCTCAATTAATGCATATCATATCGTGTTATTGTTCCTTCTACTTCAACTGTTTCTCGAGGTTGCTTTCACTGCGTTTTTGTACTTTTGGCTTGTATTTTTATGTTAGCAATCTTGTTTTATTGATTCTTGTCAGGACTATTTGAGGTACTGCGCTTTCTTAGTTTGCCTCAAATTGTTCTTGTCCTGATTCTCGTGCATGTAGACTGTTTTTTAAACTATTGCACTTCTTAGAACTCGCCATATCATTATTCTGCTACTAAATAAGTAGTTATTTTGAACAGGCATTTGCCTTGCATAATGAAGGGGCCCAAGGGTAAGGGAACTTCAAGGGTCTCCAAAGAAGCTTTGAAGCCAGTGGATGACAGGTAGTTTTTTGGCCATTGTCCCACTACATTTCTCTTTTATTATTCTGATAAAACCTTGCAATTGTTGGGTTAGGATTGTCTGCGATCCATGGCTGGCATCTTTTTTTTTTTTTTTGGAGTATTGAATTTCCAGCATGTTTTTTAGTTCTATTGAAATCTAATATCCACATACTTGGCGGTGTGTATACAGCATTTACAGGAATTTTGTAGTGACGGATCATAAATATCTCTATTCTTTTCAGAAAGGTTGGGAAGCGAAAGGCTGCCATCAAGGCTGACAAGGGTATCAAACGACCGACAAAGAAAGAATTGAAAGCCTTGAAAGATCCCAACAAACCTAAGAGGCCTCCGAGTGCTTTTTTTGTTTTCCTGTTCGTATTGCCTTTTGCCATTTTGTCTTCGAGCTAAAATCTATTTGTTTGATTTCCTTCTTGAAGCAAATTTTCTAATCTTTTTGAAATTTTATATAACAGTGAGGAGTTCAGACAGGAGTACAAGAGGGAAAATCCTAATGTGAAGGCAGTATCTGCAGTATGTGATCTTTAAAATTGTTATAAAGATTCACACAAACTTGAGATGCAAATATACAGTAAATTGTTAACGTTTTCTCCACACCTGCAGGTCGGAAAAGCTGGAGGACAGAGGTGGCAATCATTGACTCATGATGTAAGTAATGTTGTGTATTACATAACAATTCAAGCGGGCTTAAAATGGTTGCCCTCATTTCATTTTTCCTGCATGTATATATGATTTTGATGAAGGAAACTCTGTTTTTAGAGGTGTGACATTTGTATTTTTCTGCCTCTGCAATGATATTTTCTTACCATGGGTGTTGCACAATATTTCATTTCTAATAATAACTGGCTGGGTTGAAAGGAAAAAGCACCATATGAAGCTAAGGCGGCTAAGAGGAAGGCTGAATATGAGAAGCTTATGAGGGCATACGACAGCAAGAAGGTAGGCGCGCTCTGTACTTTGTGTATTGATCAAACTTATAAGACAACTTCACTGCGACAAACGCTTATACATGCTTTTATCCGGGAATAGGCTAGTGAAGCTGATGACGAAGAATTAGAGAGGTCAAAATCTGAAGTGAACGGCGAGGATGATGCCAGTGAGGAGGTATTTTTGATACATAATACGCAAGTGCTTCAATGCTTGTACATGTCTATTTCAGTTAATAATATGCAAATTCAGATCATATCTGCTGTTTCATGTGCACATATTTCATTTTATAAGCCTGCTGATTGTTTGAAGTTGAAAGTAACAAAGTTATGTTCTACCTACTTAGCTTGTTGCATACTATGAATAGTTTTTCGCTTCTCTATCAACACGTGTTCAATACTCAACTCTTTGCAGGAACATCACGAAGACGATGAGGAGGAGGAGGAGGAGGACGAAGATGATGAAGAGGATGATTAAATTAGAAGCAACTTTCTAACATTTGCAATAGCCAACCCAGCTGCTAGAGGGAGGGAGTAGCTCATGTATGTTCATATCTTCAGTACTTGCGTGTTTTCTGTTCTTTTGTATTTATGTGCAAATGATAAAGTGTTGTATGGCACTTCCGCAATATTACTGTTTAAATGGTCTGCTCCACTCGCATCGCCGTTGTCATAATTTGATAAAATCTCTGGCTATTCTGGCCTTCTGATAACCGAATATATAAAATTATCAAATCCGTCTTATAGAATTACGTTTTTTTTTTTTTTTGTTTTAGAACTTTTAGAGAGAGAGCCTCTGAACCATCCGTGATAGGTAATGGTCTGTCTATCTAAAGTCGAAGATTATGACAACAATAGTAAAATAAATGTATGGGTTGGAGAATTCCCTTTTTCACATCCTTGACAACATCGTATTAGGCATTTCTACATAAAAAGTTTACCGCGCTAACTCTAATGGACATGAAAGAGAAGTAGCTATTGAGTCGTTCATTCATTAATATGCTTGCAACTTTGCAGTTCTCTAATAAGAATATATTTTTGACATTAATGTATAGAAATATGAAACTTGAAATTTCAATTTTGAGGCTCTCTGATAAATATCTAATTTTAAAACGTTACTTGATATTTCAAAAAACTTATAAATTTGTATTAAAAGAATTTCTTACTGATGGTTTTAAGGAAACTTGGACATAGTTATGAATTTCAAGTTTTGAACTATGGTAATTAACTTTTAACATTCTCCGAGCTATAGAATCTATATTTGTAATTTAGCTTAAAAAACCTCGTTAAGCTACGAGCGAAAACAAAGATACTGCAGTGAACTGATGTGGGAAGGGAGTGGTAGTAGAAGAATACCGTGGAAGAAAATCTTTATCCATCCATTAACTCCAATGATACATCAAAGATAATTGATGGCCTTGTAAATCTTTCCCACACTTGTATGTTTTCTTCTCTGTTGCAATCAACCGTTCCTGAAAGAAAGATACCAACATGTCGATCATGCTTGAGGTGTGCAATAAATGACTGGCCGGTGGAAGGAAAAAATGAGACAACAAAAAGGAGAACCTAAAAGAATCTGACAAGTAAATGAGCAATTAACCATGGCAAGATTCAGCCACTTGTAGCGGTTGAATAAAAAATAGCTGGGATTTCACACAAAAATACAAAATTTGTGTCGGAATTCGTTGATAGCTCCGTACGAATTTACAATGGAAAAACTTATGTTCATTGTAAGATCACTAAAGGAAGGGCTGGTCATAAATTTGGAGAGTTTGCTTCGACACGGAAGGTATTAGCCCCTTACTCACCTCTTCAACATCTAGAAAAAGGCCCTATTAGTTAAGCGCTTTCGTAAAAGCACCATTGGGCGGGAGTTCCTCTTTTTCTCTTTCCTCCAAACAAGGAAAAAATAAAAAAAAAGAAAGAGAGAATCACTTGATTCCCCGCAACAAGGCAGATAGAGGACTTTTTTCCTTCCTTAAGTCCAGGATACGAAAACAATTCCTCCCCACTAAAAAGAGCGATTGAGAGTGGGTTTCAGGTTCGATAGTGTCGAGAAGGTTGGCTCCTTACTCACCTCTTCAACATCTAGAAAAATATGCATCATATATGCATCATTCTTTCTTCGCATATTATCATACACTGCTATATTCTCCCCTTATGCGAGCCCTTGCTATGATACGAGCCAGAAGCTTCAGATTTATCTATTAGAACAAATAAAATAATGACTTAATACAGAGATACACTTTAAAGTTAAAAGCATGTTTTCATTCCCATATACTTTCCAAACCAGAAGCAAAGCCTTGTAACCAAAAACAAAACAATGAAAACGAACACTGGAAACAAGGGAGAAATTGCACGAAGGATCTAGTGGTTCAATTGTGTTCTATGCATTGAAGTGAAAACATTACATATATTTATAGGAAAATAAGAAACTAGCCACTAACATAGGCCACCTTAATCATCCCCACTAATCCATAGGCCACCTCCCTACTAATTAAGAGGCACTGACCTAAATAAGTGCCAGTAACAATAATTAAAGAAAAAATATAGATACCGGTGTGTGAGATCTCGACGGCCTCTTTGTGCCTTTTGTATATCGATATGATAAAAATATGGATACCCGTGTTATTTAGTTAGCACAAATATTTGGTTCGTGCACAACATGATACACAAATAAGGAAGTTTCAACCTTCGATTAGCAAGATTTGATTTCAGTTTAAGAAACTAATGATGAATGCATAATTGTCAACAACATAGCTGAGTATTTTTATGCTTTTCAACATAATTTAATTAAAAAAACAGGTACACGGCTATCTGTGTAAAATACCTTAGTAAGATTGCCAAGGGAAGCCAATGGTAGAAAATAGATAGGATGCATGGAGTAGCAAGATCAAAGGTGCTGCATAATAGGCAATTACAATTAAAGTTTTTACAGTTTTAATAGTAAAATCAACATTTCTGTTGTTAAATTGAGAGATTGGAAAATGGCACCTTCCTGCACTGCCAAGAAGTCTGCGTACACGCGCCATTGTTCTGGAACATCATCAAAAAGATTACTAAACCGTCCACCTGGAAAGGATGGTAACTCACTGAAAAATTCAATATAGTCTTCCATATTATTTTCTCTTTATGATTCCAGACCAATGAATAAGCGTCCAACCGCTCCAATGCCATCCTTGGTGACCCATCTGCTAATTCAATAAACAAAACCTACATTAGAGTCCATTACAAGACTATATTACAATAGTTTGAATTATTTTAAACAATAAACCAATGACTGCATAGGGTACAATACACGACAAAAGAATGTGCAAAGTATCCATTATTAGGCCTTTTGGTGCGTACATATGAAAGTATTACATAGATAAGCTCAAAGATTACTCAGTCACAGAGAATGCCACGAAAATGTTGTGGGAAAAAAACACTAAGAAACCTGATGGCAGCATTAGAAGCGGCTGCAGTAGTTCCAGAGAAGGAGCATATACCAACTGCCTGCAAATAGTCAATAAAAGAGTGGTTTAAATAATGTTAATGACCTTTTCTTTTCCATTTTGCTAAGAGAACCGCGTTATAATAGAATGAAACTGTACTTTCAGAAACAGCTATCAATTATGTAGAATTTGAGTTTTGAATCATCTAATTATAGGAACTGGATGTGACCAACGCGTGACACATCCATCCAACAATATTAGTGGGGAGGCAGTATCATGTACCGCAAGTAGTTGTCTGAAACTGATTCTGCAATGAAAATTATATAAAAGTAAGATGGCAGGTATAACTAGATCCTGCCTGAAAAAAGAAATTGAGATATTACTTTATCGATCATTTTTTCTGATAATCCACCATACTTTCATTGAGAAAAAAAGAAGATAAATACAAAGACATCCAAAATAACCAAGCCAACAAAAAGAGGCATTCCCATTAAGGAACCCCAATCGAGCAAAATGTGAGCGGATAAATAACAAAAGGAATTTGACACCGACGCCCAAAAGAAAACAAAGAATCTAGCCAGGGACCAAACATCCCTACCGTCTTGCTCACCCTTCTAAAGATCCTATTGTTTCTCTCTCCTGGAAAGGCCGATCATCTGGCTGTATAGCTACAAACAACTTGAGCAAACATTAATGGATGTTTTTGTCACAGGTTGGTCATATCCAAAATGCTCATTGGCTATATGATATGAACTCTTGGCTGTAATCCATATGACAAACAAAAGTACATGCTCATAAAAAGTTTACGGTTTCTTTTCTATCTTCTAGTCGGTGTACACCCATACAACGTTTCCAATTTATGATTCATTACAATTGAAAAGCTTCTTTATAATCTCCTTGAGGTTGCTTGGATTCAAAAAGGGATAATCCAATTGTCCTTTTCATATTTTCTACTCTTTTTCACATGACAGAACAATTTCTAACTGATGGGAATCAAAAGAGGGAAGAGGAAAACCTAGAAGTACTGGAAAAATCCTGATCGTTGGGAGTACAAGATTATTGTAGAAAAATTAAATAAGTAAAACGGGATACATCTAGTTGTATGAATCAACTAGAACCCAAATATTCCCAAATATTCTAGCTTGGAAAACATCACGTAACAAAAAAGTTCAATGAAGAAATGTTAACGGTAAAAGTGAGAAAGAAAAAAAGTCCACGCACATTAGGTATCATGTTAAGAATCACGACTATCCACAATGGTATGATATTGTCCACTTTGAGCATAAGCTCTCGTGGCTTTGCTTTTGACTTCCCCAAAATGCCTCATACCAATGAAGATGTATTCCTTACCTACAAACCCATGATCATTCCCTAAATTATCCAGTGTGGACTCCCTTTCAACAATCCTCAACACCCTTGGGCAAGATAAAATCTTGAATGATATCTGGAAGCCAGGATAATTTAGTTTCCAACAAATGAGATACTTTGAGACCATTGGATGTCGGAGATGTTTGTTCATCAAAAACAGATTGCAAACGTAGTTATCATCTAGAAAATACCTGTTCATGGAATCAAATTTCCCAAAATGAAACTCTTATTGTAGCTATAGGAAGCAGAAAACGGTATACCAGTTCTAAAAGTCTACATACTGTGCTGAATACTGATCGTTAATTATCTCAACCATCAGCTTTTTCCTAAAAGAAATGTGAACCTCTATCTATCCTCAGGAAGTTTAAGGCAAATTTTTAATTCACATAAAATGGATCTAGCATATAGATTGCTTCAGTGGAGTGATATTAGCAAAACCATAGCAATACGAACAAGAATACATTATATCTACTATAAGAATTTGGAAAGATGAACTCGAGAAATGGTTAGGTAAAAAATGAATTCTAAGGCAAACATCACCGACTTCTTCTCAGCGCCATTTCCGTACTTCTCGAAAAAAATTACTCACCGCTGGCCGTGTACTCTGTAACAAGAAACACAAGGAAAAAGTAATACAATCAGATGGAATAACACCGAAAGCATTATCACTAGCAGAGAAACAATCACCGCTTCCTCTAAATCGATATTTTCTTTCGCCTCTTGAGATATTAAGACATTTCGTCTCGGACATTTTCCGCTCAGTATGGAAAGAAATTGATCAAGACTTCAAAAAACTTGAAACATTTCAAGAAGCAACGACACATCACATACAGAACTACGCTCAACTTCTCTTCATCCATTAATATCCACCAGTTTTCAAGATAACAGAACAGAAGAATGTAGGGGAACAAAAATAAAGATCTCGTACCTGCACGATCAACACTGTTCTTTACATTATCTTCTCCATCGGAAAATCGGTTTAGCTACATAAAATCTGATGATGATTTCGCAGTTTTCTACTGTGAATCAAGCTCAAAGACTCAAACGCACACACAAGTAGCCAATGAGAGTTGCGCAGCGCCGGACATGCGGAGACAGCCCTTTCTGAAGCTAAGCGACGTGGTAGAGGTTCTTATTCAAGTCTGCCAAATACAAACGGATGAACGCACAGTCGCTGTGTGATCCTGTTGGCGGTTGCCTGTTTTGTTAATTGCCGCGCAGCAATCCAGGAAGACGACCTTACTCCCCTAATTATTTTTATGTTCATGCCTTTAATTATTTTAATTTTTTTTTTAAAGAATCAAAATTAATTTTAAATGATTAAAAGTAAATTTTTGAGTAATTTTGAACATAAAAATGGATATTTAAGGTCGTTTAAAAATGAGGCAAATTTTGAAATATTTCACTGAATTTTGAATTACACTACGAATTTATATAACATCCGAGTAAATAAATGGTACATGAATAAACAAAACTACAAAGCAATCTAAGGGTAAGATGGCTACCAAAAACTTACTTAAAAAAATTGAAATTTACTATCTTATTATCAACCAGATGCATCTTCCGTGTTTTAATCATAAAATTTCAAAGTTAAAACGTCTTCACAAAGGGGATCGCAGGGACCAGGCTCGGGCGCGTGTACTCCAAAAAGAAAATGGCCTCGCTACAGGAAGGGAACAAAAGGAGAGGAAAAAAAGATTCAAGACTGAAGTGGAATCAGACTCAGTTTCAATTCATCATAGGGGAAGGCTGCTTCATGCTAGGCGTCCAGACTTACTACGCCCGAGCCGCATTTCAATTCAAATTCTCGATTTTCGAATTGAGAGAGAGTTTTAAAATTTTAATAATAAAATTGAAACTATAATTAAAAATGAGAGGAAAATAGAAAGGATATGATTCTCATTACCAACATATTCTTATGATACATGAAAAAACAAACACAACAACGAAAAATGCATATAAAACACAAATAAAAAGCCTAAAAGTATTTATTGCAGATTGCATGCGCTTAATTATTAGCCCACAAACTGCCTTTATCAAACTCCCCATAGTTTGAAATTTTCTAAGCTTTCCAGCAGGCAGGCGGCAAGCGTTCGATCCAGGCCAATTCTGATATCAAAGAATTTTAATAACAAATCCATTTGATTTTGCTGTTTGGTCCTTCTTCATGACCAGATTTCAAAAGAAACCCCTCTCTCATTTTGCAATTTGACCCACTTAAAAGCATCATATTAGCCTTTAAGCTCTGAAGATTGATTGGCTTGAAGCTTGGAGTCCCAAGTTGGGGGCATTGTTGTCATCTGCAAGGGCGAAAAACAAAAAAACGTTAAAAACTCGGCACGCATGTAACAGCCCAAACCCACTCGTAACAGATATTATCCTATTTGGGGTTTCCATTTCGGGTTTTCGTTAAAGTTTTTAAACCAAACTCATCGCTAGCCGATATTATCATATTTGGAGTTTCCTTTCCAAGTTTTTAAACCAAACTCACAATTAGCAGATATTATCTTATTTAAGGTTTTCCTTTCACGGTTCTCCTCAAAGTTTTTAAACCAAACTCACCGCTAGCAATATTATGCTCTTTGAGGTTTCTCTTAAAGTTTTTAAAACGTATTTGGTAGGAAGAGATTTTGACACCCTTATAAAGAATGTTTCTTTCTACTCCTCAACTGATATAAGATCTCACAATCCATTTTTCTTTGGAGCCCAGAGTTCTTACTAGCACTCTTTCCTCTCTCCAAATTAGGTACAAGCTACACGAATTCACACGATTCAAACTCTTCTTAACCCTAAAACTACACGAAAATAGACTTTTGAAACCTGTGAACTAAACTCACTTGACCGAACCCGAACCATGCAATTTAGTCACTCACCTTCTTGTGTCTTGGAAACAAAGAAGCAAGCAGCAATGATAATGTAGCAGAGGAGAAGAATAAGGCCTTTAATATAGTGAGAGGTTCCATCTTGTAAAGTGAAGGCTGTGGCAATAATGGCCAACCCAAGCGACCCCGTTTCCATGAGGTTAAAGTTCAGGTCCATGTCCACTCCCATTGTCCAAGCAACTATCACACACAGTGGAATCTGCAATTACATATTCTTCAGGGGTCAGTTGGTGTAATTTCAACCTTTTTCCAAGAGGGGTTTGAAGTTTTCATTAATTACACATACGTACCACAAAAAGTGCAATTTGTGTTGCAGATCCCAATGCAACTCCCAATGATATATCCTGTAAACAAAAACAAAACATTTAATTTTATATTTAATAAATCTCGATAAATTTAATTTTTTAAAAATTTATTCATCGTACATATTCTTGAATTTCAATGAAAATTTACGATACTTACCAACTTATTCTTGAAGGCGAATATGATAGCTCCAGCGTGTTCGGCTGCATTTCCGACGATTGGAAGCAAGATTATACTAAGGAAACTGACCGACAAACCCCAAGTAGTAGATGCTTCCTGATATTAACATAATAAATTTTAGGTTATATTTTAAATTTATTAAAAGAGAAAAAAAAATAATATATTTCATTTTTTTGCTGAAAAGCCCTTTAAATATACAATAATTAAAATTTACCTCAATTGTGTTGACAACGTATTCAGACAGCAAAGCAATAAGAAGTGTCATTCCAGCAAGCCATGCAAATGCACTCCAGAATCCGATCACTGCCTCTTCTCCAGAAACGTCGTCGTCTTCGGTTTCCTAATTTTCCAATAATATAATTAAATAATTTAATTCTCACACAATAAAAAAAATCATTTCAATTTAAATAAATAAATGTTTATCTTGGTTCAAAATCAACCCACCAAGCCATGATTATTATTATAATTATTGTTTAATTTTAATAAATCTTAAAATTAGTTATTTTATTTAATTTTATAAAATACGAGATGATCGAAGAAAATGTTATTTTTTAAAATTTATACTCTGGGACTATTTTTACGATTCATTAAAAATATAAAAATTAAATTTGAATATTTAAAAGCAGATAATCGACTATTCTAGTGGAGGATTCGGAACCATAATTAGTAGCATTTTTTCGATAAAGTCAACTTTCGTTGTTGCTGTCGTGGTCGTGGTGGTTCATTTAGAACCACCAAAACAGCCTTAGCCACTAGTCAGTGTGACAAATACATCACCTTCTTATAATTATAATGTACTAACTTCCCATATGTAAAAATTGTGTTATTTGTCACAATTTTTCTTATTTTTTAATTAAATATTTATATTTTTAGCCGAATTCTAAATTTCAAAAATAGCCAATCAAAATTAAATAATAATAATAATAATGAATGGATAGAAAGGGTGTTTATAAATTTAATTTTTTTTTTTTTAAACTGAATTTTATTAAATAAAAAATAGAATATTAAAGAGAGGAGAAGGAACGTACCTCAGTTTCGAATAATGTCCGGTGAGTCCAGAGTTGGAAGACCAAGTAAGCAATGTAAGCGGCGAGCATTACAATGCTGCTGGCTCTGGACAAGTGGAGGGTGGAGGCGGCGGCAGTGGAGGCGGAGGAGGCGGAGGAGGCGGCGTACCCAAACAATAACGGCAATAGGTGGCACAGTAATGACAGCATCAGCATCAGTGCGTTCACATCCGCTTGCCTCTGTTTAAATAACAAAATTACATATTTAATTATATTTCTTTACTTCAAATCTATTACCATTCACCTAATAATCCGGTTTAAATCCACTTTATTTTATGTTAAAATTGATATGATTCAACGGGTAACGGTTAACCGATATTATTATGTTTGAGCTTTCACTCGTAGATTTAAAAATGCAGTTTCCCTCGAGATTTAATATGTGGTCTCATACCAATGGTGGGACTTTTATCATCCAACAACTTCTCTCGAACAAAGTGTACCAATGATATGTGGTCTCATACCAATGATGGGACTTTCATCATCCAACACCTTCCCTCGAACAAAGTGTACCAATGGAGAGAGTATTCTCTAAATTA